TTATTTGTAGTGTCCATCTCTTGGATTTTCTCATTAGCCTGCTCCACTTTCTTTTCCGTTTCATTCAGCTGGAGCTGTTGAGATGCAAAGTTCTTATTCATCACAGTCAGTTTCTGGTTAATACCATCGAGTTGCTCCATCACCGGCTTTAGCATATCTGCTAGTAATTTAATGACGTCTGCCCCCTCTTCCGGTTTGGGACTCTGACTGCCTGGCGGTTTCGTTTTTAGCTTTGCACGCTGGGCCGCCATTTTTCCGATTTGTTTACACTTCCCACCGCTTCCTCCCAACTCAAGAAACTCGCCCACGATGTCAAAAATCAAGTAAGTCTCTCACAACACACACGCTGCTTTCCTCCCCTCTCCCCCTTTGCGTTGTTTATCGGTTACTTCACATAAGACATAAGACCTCTTTGCATCTGTTTCTTCCCACACGGGGGGGGGATCTGCTTTTTTAATAGTCTGTTTTATTCAGCACTCAAGTTCATTGTCGGTCAGATTCTCTGACCACACTGCATTTTAACGATATTCCGCTCGATCGTTGACGCTTGTCTCGGTCAAACCAGCTTGTGCCCAAAGGCCACACAGCGACTGGACCGTCAGGGCGGAGGGGAGCCTCAATTCTCCGGCATTACGCCATCGAAGAGGCTACCCCTCAGAAGCCCTCTGGCCTGGAGCCTATCGCAAAGGCTCCGCGGGGGTGTCACTTGGGTGACACCCCTCCAGGCTTCTGGTGTGTGATTCGCCCTCCCACGGTTCAGGGAGAGCGTCCGCAATCGCTGCTTCGTAAACCGGAAGTCTGGCCATGTTCTCAACCAAGGATTCTGTTTTCTTCCTGATAGTTTGGATCCCAGCCAGATGATTGGTTCTATTGAGAAAATCGTTATAGCTGGTTTTTAATTGCCTGATCTTGTGCCTTTTTTTGTCTTTTCTCCACAGCATTTTCTATAAAATACATGATAGACTTTAGTTGAGTATAGGCTGACTGAGACTTCCTATTTCAGGCTTTGAGTTTGATGATAGGTTAACTAGGACATTCTGCTAACTCCTACAAAATTTTAATGAAATTGTTGTACTCTCTGTAGCATTTTCTGGTGATTAGTTAAGCCCTTAGCAAGGCTGTTAACCAATAGGATATTTTGGAGTTCATTAATTCATAGCACGGCCATAAGTTGAAAGCAACTTGTTGGCATATTTAAGCTGTTATGTTTATATTTTCTTTTCCTTTTTGTTTCTCATTATAATATGCCCGATTTGGATTATTACACTTGAGTTTCGCTTTGACAGTTAAAGACACTAATATGTGCCTAGCACTGGTATGGTGCTACATAGCAATCTAGTAAAACATAATGTCTGAGCAGTTTTGCTTCCGGTATTATATTGCATTGTATTTTGTGTCTCTGCTCTTGAAAACCTGGGTCAGGATGCTGGGCTGGTTTTCTAAACATTTCTAATTGTCCTCCATGTGTATGCCAATTTTAATTGAAGTACCTGAGTTTTCAGGGCTGGTGGACATTGAATTACAATCTGTTTTGTTTTGTTTTAAGAAGAAGGTGATGGGGAAGGTAGGCTCAACTTCTAGTGGTAAAAAGCTTCATTTGATTCTATACTTCTTGATCTTCATGACAACTTTAACCTTTTTATAAAACTGAATAAACTGAATATTATGTCAGTTGAAGCTATTAATTTATTTATTAGCTTAATTCATAGTACGCCTTTCTCAGAGGGACTCAAGGTGGATTCAGTCAGCAAAAGAATTACAAAGTATGATCAAATTTTTGGATATAAGATCTGTCAACACTTGCATCCTGCCCTATCTTCCCAGAACACAGAGGGGTCACACTTGGTTCTTCCCTTCTTCACTATCACCCCATTCTTCCATTCCAGGTCAGAACCACAAACAGTGTCTTTCTACTAAGAAAAAAATAAACTGTATGGAAATTGTTATGTGCATCCTCCACAGAATACGTACAACCCACCAAGTGTTTTTTTAGGAATGGAGTCATTTGCTGCAACTTTCTTCAGTTATTCAACTTTTGAAATAAAATGTTTGGGATTAAAAGACCTCTTCGGCATTAAGAAGCCTGTAATGGGCCAATCTGGCCAGCCGCTGGCAGTGTGGCTACGATTTAAAGCAGCCCAGGACAAACCAACGTCATCAAGCCAAGCCGAAAAGTGAATGCCTCCGGAACACGTCTGAAGCCTACAGCTGAACAAAAATCCCCGTCGGCTGCAAAATGTGTGCGATTTAAAGAATTATTTGTTGTCCTCCCTTACCCCTATGAAATTGTTAGTCCCTTGTGTGAAACCGTGTAACTGTAAATCGCTCAGAGCCAGCAGCTCTGCCGGATTGAGCGATCAATAAATCGAAAGGTATCATCATCATCATCATCATCATCATCATCATCATCATCATCATCATCATCATCATCATCATCATCATCATTTTATTGTGTTGCTTTCTTCTGGGGTTTTACTGTAAACACTTTACAGAATAAGCCATTTAAGGAAACATTTGTGTTAATTATGTTTTCTGTTTTCCGATATTCTCGTATCTCACCACACATAATATACTTCCGGCAAATCCACAATATCATGAATGGTTACTGATGTGAAACATTATTATAAAAGCCTGTTGGGAAAAAAACAATTTTTGCAATCCTTACTCCTCTAATTCTGAATACTTATGACCAGGGGTATTACAGAAGATCTCTTTGTTGAAATATCACACTAACTACGATTTAGTCTTCATATGTTATTAAAATGTACCACCATGTTTATGTATCTCTTTTATTGGCAACAGTATGGCATAAATTGTTTTGAAAAAATTAAAAAAAATTATGTTTTCTGTTGCTATGTTATTGAAATATAAAAATGTACAACAAATTTAAACAAGAAGAGAAGGATCTTCAGTTTAAAGATAAACCAAGGTGTGTTGGACTGTTGAAGTATTTCTTTGCAGTCTTTTAAATTGCATGTAGATGACATCTTGTAATATTTTTCAAAAAAGGTAACCTATCTCATGATTATAATGAATTGACTGAAATTTACAAATGTAGGGCAGTCTCTTGGATGTGAGCGCCTCCTAATTTTTGAGCAGATCTACCAGGTGCAATCTTGTCCAAGGGCATTTGATACCAGTAGAATATTTTGAGTTTCTTGTATATATTTATATATTGTAATTAAAATGTACTTTCTGTCTGGATCTGACTGCTGGGTGCATATTATTTTCAGCAGATTATTTTCAGTGACCTTTCCAGATCTTAATATACTTTCATGATCATTTGTTAGTGCTTTACATTCTTTACAAATATATTGTATTTATTTATGGAAAGTTTGCAAATTCTTTGTTGGAACATAGATTGAGTTGTTTATATTAGAAATATACCTTTCTTGATCAATGGTTACATAAGAATTATGTGATCTTACTAGCTAGATACATAGTAAGATCCTTTAAACTGAATTTCATTGTGAATTATAAAAGGCTTAATTTCATCCTTTACTGGATGTTCTGCGAGTGTGTGTGGTTGGTGGTCACTGCACCATACTTTACCACTTTTATAAAGCTGAACTTTTCAGATAATTTCTAATATTTTTATTTTACACATTACTGCAGTCTTGCATTAGGTAGCAGAGCCAGAAAACCTGATCCTCAGTAAAATGTTGCACAAATTAATCTGGGATGGTAGCAAGGGACAGAGCCATAAATAATGGACTGACCAAAATCAGAGCCTGGCTATGGAGAACTATATGGTCAGGTTTAGCAGAGGGCAAGTTAGATTCAATATAAGAGAAGTATCATGATGCATAGGAAGCAAGTTCTACCAAGTAGTTTGTCTGTAATCTTTCCTTTATTTCTTCTTAGAAATTTTTTTGGGAAAGAGAATTTTATTTCAGGTTTGTAGGGAGAAGCTGAGAGTTGACCCCTGGCAATTTCTTAGGTGTGCAATTTGAGACTAGTACTTGGATGCCGAAGTATAAAATAGTCAAATGATTGGAAGAAGGCTGCTTCCATCTGAATAATTTCTTATTGAATCAGTATTCACTAAACTCCATTTTATTGATTATAAGACACAAATGATTTGGCTAGTTAGGTTTTAAGCTATGTAGAACTGCAGTATGTGCTTTGGTGGATATACTAGAAAAACCAACAGAACATTTGCAATTATCCTATATAATGATCTCTGTGTACATTAAAGGCTTCCAACAGAGTAGGGGAACAAAGCAATCTTTAGATCAATGAATGTGTGCACATTAGGCTGTGTTACTATAAGTACTTATGTTTTATTTCATATCAGTTTTTCAATGAATGCAGGCGTTGAAGAGTACTGCTTTGCTGTGGCTTAAAATTCCATGTATAGAAGGCAGTTGCTACTCCAGCAAGAGATTTTTTTGTGAATTTTTGGAACCTTATCTATTTTTCCCTATGAAAGTCACAATTCCTTATCTTTTAGAACATCTTACCAGAAGAGAACTTACCATAAGAGAACATGGCAACCATAAGGCTGCCATCTTGGAAGCTTATCTTCTGGGGTTGCCAGGTTCTTTTCTTCTGCTGGCAAGGGTAGGAGGGAGCTTCTCGAGAGTGGGGAGGTGGAGTGATGTCACCGTGTGCAATGCCCGCGGTGTGATGATGTCATACAGAAGTGACATCATCACACTGAGGACGTAGCATGGCAATGATCTGGTATTTTGGGCAAAACGCTACGTTTACCATAGAGTTTTGCCTAAAATACCAGAGAGTCGTCGTGCAACTCCCCGGCATGATGGCATCACTTCTGTGTGATGTCATTATGCTGGGGGGTGTTGCACCTGGCAGTGTCTGTTAGTGGTGGGGCTTCCTGGATCCCCCCATTCCCACCTGGGGGCTAGCAACCCTATGGCCTTCAAGTTTTTTTCCTTTTGGCTTAAATTAGGCTTTGACGATATTTTAATAGGTAGGGAGTGGTTAAATGTGTTTTAAGCCATTAATGTATTCAATCACTTAATTTTCAGCTGGAGATGAAAACAAAAATGATGGAAGCTAGAATTCATGAAGAAAAACTTAAATTACAACAGAAACATGATTCAGATGTTCAGAAGGTATGGTATGTTGAAAAACAATTCTGATTGATCATTGTATATAGTAAGATATTGAACAAGGAAAAATAATACTAAAAGTTATTCTTCTGCTATTTGTCTTGGGTTTTGGTTATTGAATCATTTGAAAACCAGTCAGAATGGGATTTCTAATGTATGAGAATAAAACAAATCTTTACTGTGCAGTACAGATACTAAAACTTTTGCTCAGTAGTTTCTTCTCTAGGTTCCATTGATCTAGTTAATGAGACTACAAACCACATGGCCTTGTTATGGTGATCACATTGTGTAGTAACCTGTATGCATGACTATGTATACATAAAAACATGAAATAAAGTCTTGCATTTGAACAATCCATCAATGCCCTTCCTATAATGTCTGCATCTGCAAGAAGGAAGAGACCTGCCTTGTGTAGGACAAGAGATCAGTGAATGTGATTTATGAATGTGATTTCTGACAGTTCTCCTGTCTTGTATGTTATAAACTGCCATTGTGCCTTTTTATAAGCCTGACCACAGTACATTCAAATCCTAGTATTTAGCCCAGACAGAAGAAATTTAGATTAGAAATATGTATATATGTATGTATGTATGTTTTATGGTTTTATTTTCTTTTAGTGACTAAGGTAGAATTTAAAAAGCCTTTAGCAATAATTAGAAAGCAATAGAATGTAATGCGCCTGAGATTAACAGTATAGTTGGAGAATGCAAGCACCACAGCTGAAGGACATCTGAGAGCGAAATATGTGTGGTATAACAATAAGTATAAAGAATCTAGATAAGGGGAGTGGTGGCGCAGGATGGTAAATCCTGCATAACTATAACATCTGAACTGCCAAGCTTTGTCAGTTCTAGCCCCGTGTTGGTGTGAGCAACCAGCCTGTCCCTAGCTCATCGTCTACCCAGCGATTCGAAAGCTTCGGCAAGTAGATAAATTGGGGACCACCCGTAAGGGGGTGGGCACACCACTCCCCTTGGGAGGTGTTAGCTGCCAGGACTGACATTTGCAGCGCAGCAAGATCAAAAGTGGAAAAAACCCTGTTTCGGCATTTCGGCAGTCCCTGCAGTGGAGCAAATCAGCCAGGCGGTGGCAGTGTGGCAGTGCGACATCAAGAGCCCTGACGTCATCAGCCAGCCGACAGACTACATGCCGTTGGAACATGACTAATACTGCCTGCAGATGAATCCTCCGACCAGCTACGATGTGTGTGTTATTAAATATTGTATGTTGTCTTCCCTATCCCCCATGAATATATTGTTAGTCCATTGTCTCTTGAGTAACTGTATATTGCTCTGAGCCCGCATGAGTGGGAAAAGCGATCAATAAATTGAAAGTATTATTATTATTATATGTTCCCAAACAACATCTTTTTTTGTACAGCAAGGCACCAGGTCCCAGGAAGTCTGCCAAGGGCCGAGTTCTAAGTGAACTATTGCGCCTTATCAGGAAATTCCCTGGTACTATGTTGAAACAGATGAGCTCTAAATGATGCCTGAAAGAAGATCTTATTGTTCTCTGAAGTTCCTTTCTGTCCCAGGACCAGATAAGCAGACACAAATATTTGTAATTCTGACTAGCATAGGGGCGTACACCAATAGAGAAGTGCCTACTCAAATGATGCTATTTGTTTGGCACCAATTAGGGATTTTGTGAAGTATGGATCATAAAGATGTCGTTTGGAGTATAAGATCTATTGCCCTTTCTGGTTGGGGCAGATCTGCTGCAGTTCTGCAGGGCCTGCAAGATGGAGCTCTTCCACCAGGCCTTTAATTAGGAGCCGCCCCACCATTACCATCAATGAGCCCGACCCTCAGTTTTTCTATCTGGTTCACTCCTTCGAGTTACTCCGGACGACATTGAGCTGGAACTCAGCAGCTCTATTAATCTTAATATGCCATCTTAATATGCAAGTAATGAACTGTGCATAGGCTTGTGTATAAATGCCACTAAATCCTATATATTTCCTATTTTTTTTAGAGGAGAACACTAGGAAATCTTTAAAAAATATTACTTCATTCAAGTGGACTTCGAATTATTTAACATATTTAGGCATCCAAATTCCACTGAATATTAAAGACATCACTAAAGTCAATTTTGATCCTTTAATTGAAGATTTTTTTAAAAAAGCTAGCTCAATGGCATAAGTTGAACATTACTTGGAGTAAGCGCCTAAATATTGTAAAATCCTTTGTTCTCCCTAAATTTTTATTTTTGTTTAGAGCTCTCCCAACAATAATCACTAAGAAACAATTATTAGTTTGGCAAAAGATGTTATCAGGGGTTTTTTTGGCTTATAAAAGACATAGGGTGCACAAAACAACAATTAGCGCAGGGGGGTCTGGGTTTCCCTGACCTGCAAATCTATTACCAGGCTATACATTTGGCTAATTTTCTTAGGATGCTACATGACTACTACACGGTGGATTGGGTTAAAATATAAACACATTATACTTACCTGTTTGATGTACCTGAAATCATTTGGCAAACAGTACCAGAGCGTCCTCAATTGACCTCTGAAAGCTACATTTTACATATTTTTTTGCGTACCTGGGAAAATAAAAGAAAATACTTAGTTCCACAAATCTCCAAATTCCAGGCTCTTTTCAATCAAAAGGCGACCTTATCAGTAAATTTTCCAGTAGCTCAGAAAAAATGGAGACTCAATCCCAACTTGAAGGTAAATTGGGACACAAATTAAATTGATTCTCAATTGACCTCTGAAAGCTACATTTTACATATTTTTTTTGCGTACCTGGGAAAATAAAAGAAAATACTTAGTTCCACAAATCTCCAAATTCCAGGCTCTTTTCAATCAAAAGGCGACCTTATCAGTAAATTTTCCAGTAGCTCAGAAAAAATGGAGACTCAATCCCAACTTGAAGGTAAATTGGGACACAAATTAAATTGATTCCATTATAGACAAATTTCACACATGGCCACACAACTACAAATAACAGATATCTTGAAACACCCATTAACAGGATTTGAATCACTTTATAAGTTAATGGAAACATCGAGGAAACAACTTATTTCAAATATGTATAAGATATTAATAGACTTAGAGGGCCATAAATTACTCACCTATCAAGAAAAATAGCATTCTATATGTAACATTTATTTGACTAAAGAAGAATGGCAACATTTATGGAATTCGTTTTCTTTCAAAACTAATATTATTGAAATCAGTATGCAAACATTTAAAATGTTAACTTTTTGGTACTTATTTATTTATTTATACTTTTGATTTATTGATCGCTCTTTCCTACACACCTGCGGGCTCAGAGCGATTTACAGTTACTCTTTGACAATTGGACTGACAATATTCGTGGAGGATAGGGAAGACAAACATGCAGCATTTTTAATTACACACACATTGCAGCTAGCCTGGGCTTCATCTGCAGGCTGGATCATTCGTGTTCCGTGTATTCTTGTCGGCTGGCTGATGACGTCAG